TTTAAATATTTTTTATTTTTATTTTTTTACTTTTCCAGAATAATATGTACAAAATAAATTTGCATTGAATATATTACTGGTAGGACTTCCAGAAGATCACACGATCTTATCATGAAGCCCTTTAAACCTATATTAGGAGTCAAAATAAGTAAATAAATTTACAAATATTTAAAACAATTTTTAAATGCGTTTATATATTATAATACTCTTTAAATGTTAAGCAAGTTTTAACAATATTTTAGAATATATGTGAATATATATATATATATATATATATATATATATATATATATATATATATATATATATATATATATATATATATATATATATATATATATATATATAATATTTCTCAATATTTAATATTATTCAAAAAACAAACAAACAAACAAAAAAAGCAAAAAAAAAAAATTGTCGTTCAATTGTTCGTTACAATTCCTTAATTATTTTGTGGAATAGGTAATAATTTAAAAATATAAAAATATGTTATCAATTGAAAAAATTACTTCTTTTAGTTTTCTTTTAAGAGAAAAATAATTCCAATTATGCGAAAAATGAAAATGTTTTAAAACTATATTGTTCCATAAAAAGGCTCCACGGTATTGAATGCAAGATTTGCCTATGTTTGATTTAAAAATTGGTTGTTGGGTATGTTTATTATTTCTAAATATATATTTGTTTTTTTCTTTCATAGAATATAAATTATGAAAAGAAACAGGACATGCATTAATTTTGCATTTAAACATATAACAAACAACGTTTAATATATTTGCTTCATAAATATTAAGAATATTCATGTTTAATACTAAAGGCCTGGCATGAGTAAAACGATCTTTAAAATTAATAGGACGTGCCACATGCTTCAGTTGACAAAGCAAAGGCTTTAACTTAATTTTGTTGGTAATACCCCAGGCAATATTAGCATAGTTAATATGGCAGTGAATAAATGAGTAATATAGTTAAATTAAAGTATGTTTATTTAAAATGCTTTGTTTTATATAGAATCCCAATACTTTTTGCAATTTTATTATTTAGATTTCCAATGTTTTTTTTCCATAAAAGATTTTTATCTACAATAATACCTAAAAATTTAGTATAAGTTACTCTTTTTATATTAATATTATCAATGAAAAGCGGCGGCATTTCGCTTGGTAGTATATGCTTTTTATAAACTGAATGAAAAAGAATCCACTTAGTTTTTTCAATATTAAGTGAAAACTTATTTGATTTAAACCAGTCAGATATTTTCTTAAGTTCTACATTCATGTCATTAAATAAGTTATTGATATTATTTTGGGATAAGAAAAGATTAGTATCGTCAGCATACATTATTGTCATTAAATTAGAAGTTTTATAGAGGTCATTAATATAAATTAGAAATAACAGTGGTCCAAGTATGGAACCCTGGGGGATTCCACAGGGCATATCTAAAGCAGTAGTTGTTGAGTGTGTATCAATATGCATGAGTTGTTTACGATTATTTAAGTAACTTTTTAATAACATTACGACTTTACCAGTGATACCGTAATGTTCTAATTTATTTATGAGAATGCCGTAATCAATAGTATCAAAAGCTTTAGATAGGTCTATAAAAATACCTAAAGTGAATTGAAGGAGTCAGTAATAATTCTTGTGAGTTGAAGTAGTGCCTGTTCTGTAGAGTTATTTTTTGAAACCGTGCTGATTGTTGTAAAGTATATTATTTTCAGAGAGATGATTAAAAATTCGATCAAATAAAATTCTTTCAAGAATTTTGGAAAAAACTGACAAAACTGAAATTGGACGATATTTCCCAACATTTGTTAGTTCTCCACCTTTATATATAGAGGTCACTTTTGCAACCTTCATTTGGGCCGGAAAAATTCCATGACTTATTGAACAATTAAGAACTTTAAATAGAGTATTCTTTATATTATCGTACTTATAGTATCGACTTATAGTATCGATATAATTATAGTATCGACTTAATAACAATGTTTCCATTTAAATCTAAAGTTTTCATTTAAATCTAAAGTTCTAAATTTTACATGCCTATTTAAAATACCGCAGTTCTTAAAACCAGTGCCGAATTAAGATTTGCAGAGTCTGGAGATATTTTTGAGCAGGTAAAAATATTTATTATGTCTTTCAAATAGTCAACACTATCTAAATCTCCCATAGGTATATGCGCCTTCTGCTTACTGCCATGTTTCAGCATTGTCTAAATTCTAGACTTTACTTTTTTGCATTACTATTGAACAAGATCCTCTCAAAGTTATTGTAGAATATAAGTAAATTTACTTACTTATTTTATATAGGTTACTTTCAATTTACTTTACAAATTATATAAAATGTAAGCTTATGTAATTTAAGTTTTATTTATTATTGCTTTTAAAATAAAAAACTCCAACTTTAAAAATATTATTTTTTTTTATAAATTTAATTTACATTTGGTAGCATATTACTTTTGTGTAATTTATTTTCATATGCAAGTTTGTTTTTTTTAAATAATTTTCTTTAAATTAGTTACTTGTAAATGTAAATTTAAATAACAGTTTAAGGAACTTTTATATTATGTAATGTAATTTTAAAAAGTAACTTTTACATGTAAAAGTAAACAGCTTTTTTATGTGACTTACTTTTACATATAAAAGGAAATTACTTTTTTATGTAATCTTCTTTTACATAATTTACTTTGCAAAGTAAAAAAACTTACATTATAAAGTAAAAGTTGTTTCAAAAACATCAATTACTTACACGGAAATGTAAATTCAGATTAAACGTTTAAAAAAGCTTATGTAATTTACTTTTGATAATAATTAGGGGTTGTCCATAAAGTACGCACGCTTTTTTTTTAGCTAGCCCCCTCCCCCCCGCAATTTCCCTTATTTTTTTTTGAGTACTCTCTACCTCCCTAAAAGTACCTACGCTTTTAACCTACTAACCCAACATTTTATGATATTTTTTTTAATTTTGTGTCACCATACTTTTATAATTGACCTACTGCCCCCCTTATCTCAGAAATGCCATTAGCAGACCTCTCCGAGCGTACGTACTTTATGGACGATCCCTTAACATACTCGCGTAGGTAAAAAAAAAAAAAAAAAGAAAAAGAGCCATCCCTAATAGAGAACCTTTTTTAAAAGCATGAAAATTGTGCCTTTCACATCGAAAACCGTGTTATAGGCCCTAATTCTAATTTGAGTAAAAAAATTTATTTGTTTGGAATTTTGCTCGGTTCATATATACTCACACTTTTTTATGGTTTATGGCAAAGAACGTTTTGATTTTCTGGTTATTTTTTTAAATTATCTGCCAGATATGCATTGAGTTTCTTTTAAAATTATTAATCAGATTCAAATAATAACATGTAAAAATAATCTTTTTAAATAGTTTATAGTTTCTTAATACTTATATTTGCAAAAAATTTATTCTTTAAATATATTATGCACAACTTCTACTTTGTTTTTGCAGATTTTTTGAATTACATAGGATCTTTGTAATTCAAAGACAATTAAAGGCCTTGTAACTTATCAATTATTTACACATTGAAAAGTTTGCATGATTTACTGATAAGTATGTTAATTGTGAATAGAGTTAAAAGAGTATAATAGAGTGAATAGAGTTAAAAAAATATAGAAATAGTATTAAAAAATAGTTTCGTTTTGGAAGGAGTACTAAAAATGTTTGTTGTAAAAATAGTCATCGAAATTGCCAGAATACTTTTTGTTACTCTAGTTGGATGATTAAACCAATCGCGCCTGCTAACAAAAGTTACTCGTTGAAATTTTACACTTTTTATTAAAACAGTCTATGTTAAAATCCCCAAATAAATTTTTTATTTTACTTTTATTGTTAGCAGTGTGAACTATACTATATGGTAAACAAATACTAAAATGTCAGCACACTCTGTCAGGTGGTCTTTAGTAGCAACTCATAAGCTCATCTTTTTTCTGGTAGCAGGAAAAAATGCCCACGTATAATTTCACCGGGAAAAAATCCCCCAGGATTTTATTTTACAGCGAATAAACGATATCTCAATAGTTGTTTACAATATAAATATTTTATACACACATTTTGGTACAAGCAAAACTTTAATCCTTAATTTTTTGTAAATCAACTGACAAATATATAAAACATGTAAGGAGTGTACATTTATTGAACGACAATAGGTAGAACATACAAGGAATGTACATACTTCGACTAACAAATAGGTAGAAAACGCAAGAACTACCGCTGCATTGACTAAGGATTTTGGTTTGGGCAGGCAATCTATTATTTAAAATTTTTTTTGTTGTAATTAATGTCTAATTTTAGAACAAAAATAATATTTTAAATATTTTAATAGATTATTGTGAGTAGAGAACAGCGTCAAAACATCTTATCTATTAGAGATTCTAGCGGTTTCCAGTGACAAGACCCAAAGGTTTTCTTTAAGTCTCCGAGTTTTTTAACTTCATTTGTAATAATTTTCGTTTTTATATTATTAAAGATTAAGTTTTAATTGTATGACCCAGTTTGAGTACCCTAGCCACTTTTTTGTATTTTTTTTTAGTATACCTTGTGAAATTTTTTTTAAGATTTAAACGTTTTTTTTTGAGAGGTGTGTGTAATCCACTAGCCACAGCATTGCGCTGTAATAGCGCCTAGATCAACAGCTAAATAAAGTTAAAATTTTATAAATAAACTTAATTATGTTTATTTAATCGATTTCACATTTCATAATAGTTTAATTCAGATGTAAAATAATATATACTGTGTAAAATATACTTCTGTAAATTTTGTAAAAAAGTCTAACAAATTTATATTTAAAATAAATTTACAATAAAAGCTGTATAATCTTTAAAATTTAAAAATAATCGGAAAACGAATGCGAGTAATTTTTTGAATATGAACTAAAAGCTATCGCATATATGTAAATGCATTTTGTGACTAAATTAAAGTTTTAACTTGAATTATGTAACAATATAACTTGTTCAATGCTTCAGAATTTTACAGAGAAAAAAAAACGATATTAC